GCAACAACAACAGACACACAAAAAAAGGAAAACACTGGAAAAAAGAGGACGCTGTGATGGCGACCGGGAAGCCACCGGCGCAGAACCTTAAAGTCAAGAATAACGACAGCAACACAAGCTGCGCCTGACTGCCGTCTTCCCCCTCCTATTCCTACACAGGGGAAGGCGCACAACAACGGGGTGGTGGCGGTGCAGGGCGGTGTGCACCCGGCGTCCCCCCGCTGGAGAGTAAATTTGTCCCACATACACGCACACTGCGAGAGAGCAGCAAATGAACTCACAAAAAAAAAGAAAAAAAAACAGGAAGATGGCAGCGGATCCCTCGCTGTGAACGCGCGCGAGGTGGCGGTCCTGTGGGCCCCCTCCCCCGCAGCCGCCAGGCCCTTCCCAAGCGTGGAGGGGCGGGGTGGGGGTCGTGGAAACGAAAGCAGCAAAGACAAAAAAAAAAACAACTGTAGTCGCCGCCCCACCATCACCACCCAACGCGATAATACTTGAAGCCAAACACAAACCATGTTCAAGAGGCGGCACAGCTAACCAATAGTCGAGACTTCATTCACAGAGCTCCATCGCACAGCAATCCCCTCCAGATGCTTCTAACAAGCACAGAGTGAATAAGACGACTATTGTAAAAGGGCCAAGCGGCAAATGGGGGGTGGAGGGGGAGGTGGGGGGCACCGGAAAAGAAGGTTGCATTACTCCCTACATAATGAGAAAAGCCCACCATCAACACTGAATGCCATGACGCACTCATGCGTCATGCTTCTTTTCATCTTTACTTCTACTACTGTCAGTGTGGTCGAAAAGGTATCAAGCAGGAAGACACAGGCATCACGCCTCCGCATGTTCTCCATTTCCGCTTCAAAGAGGCGGCAACGGCAGCGGTCTGACATATTTCCCGTTTTATTTATTTTGTTTTTCTTTCCTTGTTTGAAATTACTTCTCCCCCCTCTGCCTTCACGGATTTGCCCGGTTGATTTGCTCCAAACCCCCACAGTGATGCCACCCCGTGCGCTTTGCTGCATGCTGCACTCTTTTTTTTTCTTTTTTGTAGTTTTTTTTCTATCTCTCTCTCTCTCTCTCTCTCTCTTTCTATTTCCCTCCGTGTGCTAACCTTCCCTAACGTTGCTTAAAATATCCACTACTATACTTCCTCACACTATCCGCATATATATACCACCTCCATCCCACTAACCCATGTTGTTTCTTCTTTTTTTTTTGTTTCTTTGTTTGTTATTGTCTTGCCTTCGGCATGTTTGTCTCTGGTTATTCCTCCAACGGCATCCGGGCACCAGGCGAAACGGCAATGAACGCATCACGTCGCTTCCATCGGCACTCAGCAGCACAGGCACAAGCAGCTGTCAATTTATTTATATCTCCACCGAGAAAGAAAGAGAGACACACGCATCGCGCTGTCGCCCATCTTGCCAGTGTGCCGGGTGGCACCATTTTCCTACATGCCAGAACCATCACCAGCGCCGACGTTGTCAGCACGCCGCCCTCCTACACCTTGTTCGCCAGCTTGCGCCACTCTTGCATGTTCTTAACGAGGTTTTGATGATCTGTGTTCTTCGTGAGCTCGGCGGCGCGGGCGTAGATGGCGAGCATGCGGTCGTCCCCGTTGTACTCGTGCACCACCCGGGACCACTCCTCCAGTTGGTTGAGGTCTGTGCAGTCTTTGATCGCAGCGGGGGTGATGTGGCGTGACGGGTCCACGTCGTCCATAAGCTCCTGCACCACCTCCTTCAGGTCGGCCTCGTAGCCGGTGGTCTTGGCCTCTGGCGCGTACTCACGCTCCACATTCTGCACAATGCTGAGCATCTCGCGCCGCGCCGTCGGATCATTCGCGGCCACCGTCTGAAAGTCGTCAAAGTACAGAATGTGGTACTTCTCCGGCAGCCAGGCCGTAAGACGGGCGCCGATCTCCGCGCGGTCCGCGGGGTGCAGCTCGGTGTTGACGTTCCAACGCGTCTTCTCACGCAGGGAATTGGGGGAGCCACCAGGGAGGATGTCGAGACGGTTGTCCTCCGCCAGCTCGTTGGCGCGAATACACTTTACGTACTTCATCTCCGCCTGCACGTGTTCCTCGTCAAAAATGCGGGCAATCATCGTGTTCTCCACACGCTCATCTCGGCTCTCTTTCTTATCCTTCAGCAGCTGCTGTGCACGCGCCACTGTGTTCGACTGCTTCTCCAGACGGAATCGAACCTCATTGCCAAACTCCTTGCGGTTCAGGTGCCCATTCAGACGGTCCGCGTCAAACAACAGGCACTCGTAGCTGCTCGCAAAGTCGACATGAGGCAAGACAGATTTGGCAAACGCCGTCTCCTCCTCGGTGCGCTCGCGCGGCCGCATCCAACTTGGGGGCTCACCAGTAAACTTGTAGTTGTGACTGTCAAGCTCCAATGCGTGGCCGTACCAGCGGTCGTGGTCGTAGCGCTGCTGTTGCAGGAGCGGCTGCGCCGACGCAGCCGTAACTGCCGCCGTGAGAGAGCGACGAGCGAGCATTGCCTTATGTCTGTAGATACCTCTGACTCCTTGGAAAAAATATATTTATAAATGTGGGAGTGTGTAGAAACCAAAAGTTCTATTGCTATTCCTGCGGCAGCGCACAGGTGGCACGCACGGAATGAGGAGGCACAGAGAGAGCAGAATCAGCAACAAGAACAACAAAAAAAAAGGACATGGAATCGTACACGGTACAAGAAATAGCAGAGCAACGCCATCAACGGCTCTCGTAGTTATTGAGCGCGGCGGGAACTGAGGCCCGCCCACCAACCCAAGCAAGCTGGAAAAACAGAAAGTCCAGAAAGAAGCGGTGGCAGAGAAAGAAAGAGATAAAGAACAAGACCAAGACGCTCCCTCGTCACCTACACTTCCTTGGGTGCCGACGGCGGGTGGAGGCACGGAAGGGCGCTTCTGCACTCGAAAAACCACCTCGAGGAAAACTAATCATTTCTTTTAAAAAAAATTTTCAAGGCTCGTCTACGACACTGCGGAGGCCCCCCGGACCCGCGCCCCAAAATCACCCCCACCGCTGGGACGATCCGCCTGACTGAGCGCACAATCGCCCTCCCCGCCGGACGTGGGGCTCCATCGGCACACCTCTCCCGCGCAAACAGTTCCCCCACACACCCAAACGACAGACCAGGGCATCGCATCCGTCGGGCATTCCCCACTGCATCGTCAGAGGCACAAGTACGTTCCTGCAGACGCATCCCCGCCGCCCACGGACGCCTCTCTTGAGCCCCTCAATGCTTCCCGCAGATCAACTCTCTCGGCTGGCCTCATTTTGGCTCCTTTGTGCCCTTCCTCCACACCGCCACGCAGAAGCATCCGAATGCCTGTGCCGCGTGGACCGTCGCAAAAAGGCCCAGGTGACTGTTTTGCCTTGGCCTTGGCCGTGCAACGCGTTCACCATCCGCCACAGGTGGACGCGCACCGACCGCGTAATCGCTTGGATATGCAGCAGTCAAAGGGCAAGCGTCAAGTGACGACGCCGTTGGGCCAGTTCAGCTGCCTTAAAAGCCCTTCAGCAGCGGCGGCTACCCGCTCCACTCCGGAAAGCATGGCGGCACCACCGCAAAAACCAAAGCAATGACAATAACAATAAAACTGAAAGGAGACGAACGAAGAGTGCAGGCAGGATAAGAGAACGGACGGGCGGCACACATACGCCCCCGCGCCCCCGCACCCACAGTCAAACAGCGACGAGCCTTTGTGAGGCAACAGCGGCGAAGCCACGAGGGAAAATAAGAAGGTTGAATTGAGTACTTCATGCTAAATATATATATATATATATATATATATATATATAACAAAGTGTAAAACAGAAGTAAAAGGGGGTCGAGACAGAGAGGGGTATGCACGTACATATAAGAACTGTTTTGATTTAAAAATGTTTCTTTTTCTTCGTTTTCCATCCCTACT